TGTGTGTGTGTGTGTGTGTGTGTTCAGGGGACTGTGTCGTGGATCAGATCCGCCTCCTCACCGCTCTGACCGTCTTCCTGCTCTCGGCGGGTCCTGACGTCTGCACTGTGGAGCCTCTGCACGCGCTCAGTCTGCAGCGCTTCACCACCTGTATGGACGCCAAAGACCCTGTGGTCAGTACACGTGTATCTGTAGATGGAGCGAGCACATTGTGAGGAACCTCACGCCGAGTCTTTAATGACGCGTTGCTAATTGTTGCCTGTTTCAAAATGAACGACCTCATCTTGTGTCAATCACGTTCATTCTCTTACCCAATGTTTGTGAGAGGAAACAAAATCCCCCTCACTGCTCGGCCGCCCATCGTCTGCTGAGCGTCTGTGTGTCTGAGAAGGTTGTTGTGTGAAGATCTTCGGAGTGGGAGGTCCCTTCACTCACTCAGCACAGATTCTGCAGGATACACTGAGCTGCTGCCGCGTGATTGGCTGATGAGTAACTGAGCAGGGGATCAGGTGTTGTGACTTTTATCGAACCAGCCGCCTCCTGACCTGCACTCTGGTCAAACTGGGAGAGTCTATGACGGGACAGACGGACCGTCGCCGTCCTCAGCAGAACCAGGTCACGACTTTATTTTTGAAAATATTTAAAACTGAGCAGATGAAGCTGTTGAATCAACCAGGACACGATGAGGTGGCTGCTGAAGACACGTGGACAGTCCCTACGTCTCTACGTCTTCTCAACAATCAGAACTAATCCGTTCGTATGAACGGTTCTGTCACGAGGTCCGGTGTCTGAGTTCTGCTGAGTTTAGGACGGAAGATAAATGAGCAGACGATGGATCGAGTTGTTTTCAAGCTGTGAACGACGGTAAAGTCCTCCCACTCTCCTCCAGGTCGTGAGTCGGTGTTTTCAGCTGCTGACGTCCGTGTTCCAGGCTCAGCCGGGTGTAGCCGTCCCGTACATCCAGGCCCTCGGTCCGCCGCTGGTTCGATTCCTCCAGGTACAGTTCCAGCCACAACGAACACCAATAATCTTAATCTCACAAGAGTCTTAAATATCTGAAGGATCTTAAAGTTCGATCTGATTTTCTCGTCTGTCCTGGTGAGTTTTATTTTTCACCGTCAGTGAGTTGATATGTTGATGAGATGCTGTGGTTCCTGCTCAGAGGGTGGAGAGAAGTCGACCTCAGAGTCCAGAGGAGCTGCTCGGAGTCCTGGAGGGAGTTCGAGCCATGGAGGCTCTGGTCCAGGCTGCGGATGAGTCACAGCGTGAGTAGAACAATCTCGTTTAAGATCGCAGGGAAACAGAAGCGTGAGAGTGACGAGCGCTCCAAGTGTTTACATCCTGTTTATGAAGCAAAGTGGTTTGAGGCTTGGGTCAATGACGAGCGAGTCGGTGGAGACCAAGATGGATGTGTTGTTTACACATATATATACACGTATATAAATTCAAAGTACCACACGTCTTCTGTCTCGGCCCCTCAGGCCCTCAGCTGGTGGCCATCTTGCTGCCGCTCCTCATCTCCTTCCTGTTGGACGAGAACGCCCTCGGCTCGGCCCCCGCAGCCTCGCGGTCTCTCCACGAGGCGGCGCTCAAGGACCTGATGCGCCTCGGCCCCCAGCACTCCGTCGTCTTCAGGTACAGTCGGCTCATGTTCACGCCTGACGAGGCGTCACAGCTCGTTTCTGTGACCGTGTGCTGCAGCTTTCATGTTCACATGGTGTCGAGCTGAAGCTGAATCCGGTGGAACGTGTGTCTGTGTCCTCTCAGGTCTCTCATCGCGTCGTCTCCTCACCTCAAGTCCCGCCTGGAAGCTGCTGTCAAAGGAAACCAGGAGAGTGTCAACGCTAAAGCTAGCAACGCTAACCCCGCCGCCAAGTCCTCCCCCAGCATCACTCTGAAAACCAACTTCCTGTGAGGTCGCCCTCCGGAGCCTCGTGTCCCTGAGCTCACCTGTTGCTGCGTTTGCTGTTGACTGGTTCTGTTGGAGAGTCTGACGAGCAGCACGAGGGAGCGAGGGACACACACATCACCTGCTCCTGGAGAGCTGCTTTGTTTTATCCCGTCACATTCCATAACTTTACCTCCAGAGGTTTTCAGTCTGCGAGTGAGCAGCCGCAGAAATACAATATATATATAATACAAACACATTCAAACAGAGCTGGAGCAGTGACTCAGTTATAGAAGAGGGATGAAATATCATTCTCAGTCGTCACGTCTGTATTTGACAGTTTCAGAAAGCACCTCGCTGCTGCTGCTCGCTCATTTTCTTAATTAGTTTCCAAACTAAGTTCCTGATTGGAACAGAATCGTCTGAGTCGTGTCGGTGTCTCACTCGTTTTCTTTTTTCGACAGGACGTAAACTCTGAGGCTCGCTTCTTTTAAACAATCAAAAAAAAAAACCTTGAAACAAACAAAACTATCCATCGCTCGTCCGTGTGTCGAGGAGACTTTTATTTTGTATTTGGACGACAAATCCCCCGAGAACGTGAAGACTTGATGCTGTGGGAGCCTGAAGAGACAGAAAAGCCTCGATCAGCACTTTAGATTAACACTACATCGTCGTCATAGCGACACATTTTAGATCCACGGCTGGTTTAAATAATTTAACTGGTTCTGACTTTTATCAGCTCAGTGTGAAGATTCATAGAAAAGAGTTGAAGGTGCTTTATGTGACTTTTCACGATCACTACATCGATGACGTTAGCACGAGCAGCTGTTAGTTCGTTCACTCTCAACGTTAACTCGTCTTCTCCTCTTTGATTTACTGACGTTAGCCCGCGGCCTCGTCCGCCTGCTGCTCAGAGGATGAGTCATAAACTCTGGTTTTTAAAATGGCTGAAGCTGTTGGTGTCAAACAGAAGCAGAGAAACTGACACGGCTCCTTTCAAACACAGTATGCTAACTTTACCTAACCGAGATTCACCTGCAATAATGATTGAACCAGGTGAGCGTCAGTCTTCCTGCTACACGCACACGCACACACGCACGCACATACACACACACGAGCTCACCTGGTCGTCTGAACAGCCGTGAATGTGTTAACATGTTATTTTCTAACGACAGCGAGTGAATAAAACTTGTTTTTATTTTAATTCACTTCCAGGTTTTCTGTCTTTTACAAGTGTTGTAGTTTAGTGACATCATCATCCTCATCTTCCTCATCCTCATCTTCTTCATCCTCATCTTCTTCATCCTCATCCTCCTCATCAGAGTGAGTCACAGACGCTGTTCGTCCTCGAGACGTCCACGAGTCAAATCATTTCTAACCTGAACCTTCAGAAAACAGAAACCATGTGTGGACTGAAGAGCTCCGTAAAATACTTCAGTAAAAAATACTTCAT